TTCAGCCTAAAGTTCCTTTCACACTTTCAGCCACCCTCCAAACTAAATGGACTGCGTGCTTTCAATGCAGATTTTCTTATAAATGCCTGGGCTGTGTAGCTATTACTAGAACATAGAATATGGGGATCAAAATTAGTAATTGTATCCTGGGAGATTCTCAAGACTACAGAACTTAAACTTCATTTTAATTTCTCTTTGCGCTGGAACATTTTGAAAAGGTAAAGCATCCATAATTCAGAAATTATGTTCGGTTACACTGTTCCCATTCTACAAAAATATGGTTAATTTCCCCAGTGAATTTCATAAATAAGGATGAAATATACACAAACAAATGTGTGTCCCAGCCACTGAAAATGCAATCTGGAATGGTGGCAATACAGCAAAATATACTGTGGCACAGTACAATTTGCGGTAGGGAGTTACTGCAATTTCTACACGTCAGAAAAATAAGTCTAAAAAATAATAATTAAATAATAAATAAAAAAATAGCGCAGTTCAAAATCTGTAACTTTTATCAGTTGGTATTTCTGTCCAGGTTCAGGTACCATGTTTAATAGGTTTATACACTGTGTGCACAATTATTAGGCAAGTATTTTGACTAAATCACCATTTTTATGCATATTGTCCAACTCCAAGCTGTATAAGCTTGAATGCTTATTGGGTTTAAGCATATCAGGTGATGTGTATTTGTGTAATGAGGGAGGGTGTGGCCTCAGGATACCAGCACCCTATATCAAGGTATGCATAATTATTAGGCAGCTTATTTTCCTCAGGCAAAATGGGCCAAAAAAGAGATTTAACTGACTCTGAAAAGTAAAAAATTGTAAAAAGTTTTCAGAGGGATGCAGCACTCTTGAAATTGCTAAGATATTGGGGCGTGATCACAGAACTATCAAACTTCTTGTTGCAAATAGTCAACAGGGTCGCAAGAAACATGTTGAGAAAGAATTAAGCAAATTAACTGCCAAAAATTTGAGAAGAATCTAACGTGAAGCTACCAGGAACCCATTATTCTCCAGTGCTGTCATATTCCAGAACTGCAACCTACCTGGAGTGCCCAGAAGTAGAAGGTGTTCAGTGCTCAGAGACATGGCCAAGCAAAGGCAGGCTGAAACCCGACCACCACTGAACAAGAAACATAAGTTGAAACGACAAGACTGGGCCTAGAAATATCTGAAGACAGATTTTACAAAGCTTTTATGGACTGATGAGGTGAGAGTGACTCTTGACGGACCAGGTGGATGGGCCCGTGGCTGGATCAGTAACGGGCACAGAGCTCCACTCCGACTCAGACTCCAGCAAGGTGGAGGTGGGGTACTGGTGGGCTGGTATTAATAAAGATGAGATAGTTGGACCTTTTCGGGGTGAAGATGGACTCAAAATCAACTCCCAAACCTACTGCCAGTTTTAAGAAGACTTTCTTCAAGCAGTGGTAAAGGAAAAAGTCTACATCTTTCAAGAAGAACATGATATTTATGCAGGACAATGCTCCATCACATGCATCAAAGTACTCCACTGTGTGGCTAGCCAGTAAAGCCCTTAAAGATGAAAGAATGACATGGCCCCCTTCCTCACCTAACCTAAACCCTATTGAGAACTTGTGGGCTCTTCTTAAACGGGAGATTTACGGTGAAGGAAAACAGTACACCTCTCTGAACAATGTCTGGGAGGCCGTGGTTGCTGCTGCACAAAAAGTTGATCCTCAACAGATGAAAAAACTGACAGACTCCATGGACAGAAGGCTAATAAATGGTATTGAAAATAATGGGGGCTATATTGGTCACAGATTTTGTTTTTGAAAATGTCAGAAATGTTTATTTGTAGATTTTGAGTTGTTTGTTTATTATTCTCCTTTTAGTTAAATTCATTCAGTTTAAATACATTCAAGGTGCATCATAATTAAAAAAAAAGTGACAATAATTCCAGTTAATAGGGAGCCTGAGGCTTGCTGATTGAAGAGGTATAGGTCAAACTCAGTATTGGGCTTGTTGGACATGTGCACCGTTTCTACACAGCAAGGGTCATTCTCTACAGCATGCTGGGGGAAGAGGCTTTTCTACACTAAACTACATTTAAAAAAAATGTGTTACACAACATTTTATGCAGGTGTCTTTCACTGAGCTGGTTGGGAGTGCTGGACTTCTGCAGATAAACCACTGCTTCCCCATTGACAGCAAGGGTCCCCCTCTACAGCATGCTGGCAGGGGACAATCTTTAATACTAATGCTGTGTCTGCTTTCTAAAGAAAGTGAACTGTAAAGGTGCCCATACACTGCACGATTCTCGTACAATAATCGCGGGAAATCCCTCGATCGTACGATAATCGGAAGGCGTGCAACCGTTTCTACTGTGCGGTCGCTTGTCTTCCGTCGAACAAGCAGGCTGGAAAACCCGCCGGAAATCATACGATTCACGGCGAGTTAATGGCCTGCTTGTTCGACAATTGGCTAACGGGCCAGTGTGCGCACGCGCACACTGGCCTTTTTGCAGTCATCGGAAGCCCGCCCCTCATTGCAGTCCCTGAGGGGCGGGCTTGCGATGATCGCAAGTACGATCTGCCTGTCCAAGATGGGCAGATCGTACGTTTTTTTAATTACTTTACAACCCTCGCAAGACAAAAGGGTTGTAAAGTGTATGACCACCTTAAGACTTTTCACATCTTTCAATTACAATGTCCCAGGTATGTATTTAGCTGATTTAAACTGAAAGTTCAATTGTGGTTTAAAAATCACTGCAAGGTGTTTTGGTCATCTGTGTGGAGATTTCCTTTAACTTTCTTTACACAAAAGGAAGTGAGATATTTCTCAAAACTAACTGGAAATCAGCTCTCACAACTGTCATCAGAATGTATGTCTCCACTGGAAGATTTTCCCTCTGTTCCTGTTCTGGTGACAACTCAGAATTGAGGATTTTTTCCTTACTTTTAGTCTCAGTGGGAATAGTACCCAAGACAAATAGATTACATGAAGTAACATAATCGCTCTCCTAAATAATAAACGCAATGGTTTTACATAAATGCAGATATCCTTTCTTGCTGCTAAAGTTTAATAATAGGTAATTAGTCTTGTATCATGTACCATTGGCATAATGTGGTCAGTCAAGCATTTGCACAATTACAATCGTTCCTCTATTAGTACACAGGATTTCTAATCTTCATCTTCTATGCAAAGGTTTGGCAATCTATGGTCAAGTGTTACATTTAGGTCTTTTTTCTAAGAGAAGAAATATTAACCTCTGCAAGGAACAAACAAACACACATGCTTTTGCACTATACTATTCTCATGAAAATAAAATAAGAATGTGGCATCTGCAAAGGTTTGGGCACCCAATCAGTCTATAATAAGTAACAATTTTCTCCCAGAGAGTATAGCCTACAAATATTTTTGTAGCCAATTCTTCCATGCAGAAAGCTGCTAATACATAAATATTCCTAGGTCATACTGGATGCAGGCATCTACCTAGAGAGGTTCAATTATTCATAATTCAATTCAGAAAATAAATATTTAGCATGCATTCACATTTACAGAAGTACGCCATGTTGACGTTCCTTTTCTTCAGATGCTTTGTTAACTTTTCCTTTAGGAAATTAAAACAAATGTTTGAGTCTGATCCTATCATTGCATACACACCCACCTGTACAACAAGAAGGCTTATAATAACCTGTCCCTACACCTAGTACTCAGATATTTTCTGTGTTTAAAAGCTGGCAGACTCTTCACTTTAATTTTGGAAGTGTAGGATGCCTACTTCTAACCGTTTCACCCCTACGTCACTATTGGGTGTTGTAGTGGCATGCAGGCTGACGGGAAGAATCACACAGTGAAGTTCATTGCTTGCAAGAAAATGAAGGTCAGAGGAATGGATGGAGGGATAGATGAGCATAAAGCCATTTGTTTTTTTTTTTTACTGGCAACATTTTAGCTTTAACCACTTGCTGACCGGGGTGTTTGAGATATTGTTTTGATATAATAGTCGTCTTTTTAATTCATGTGTAGTTTTATATTTCGGCTTTAAATGGAAGTGAATAGTGAAGACACCACTTCAAGCTATTCCCCTATAAAATAATAATTTTTTATCACTATATTCAGAAAAGTTATTATGATCAATCAAGTGAAAAGATGGTAAAAAACAAACAGTCTTTCCTAATTTTATGTTCACTTTTTCAAAATAACCGAGTGTTTTTTTCCCGCAATAAACAGAGTTTGATTTCAATTTAAAAAAATGTTTGACTAATTTTGTTTTTCTTCTGAGGAACACTTTTATCATAGAATAAAAGGAACAATGCCTAAAAGAAATTAGAATAAATGATCAGATAAATTATCTTGAAGAATGCAACATTTGATGGCACAAATGATGTTAGTGGGCAAAGCTTTTCCGTAGATAGGTAAATTGGATTCCAAATATTTTACCCTATTCATGTAAAAAACTGCTAGACATAAACTAAAAATAATCCTAATTAAATAGGGTTAATAATACAATTCAAAAACATGTAAAGGCTTGAGATGCTTGGAATTGTAATTCTATTTAATATGAAGCTAAATTCTGCACATCCTATCCTGTCTCATTTTTGGCTTCCCTGAGGATTCTATTGGCATCTGTTTGCCTATTGGGGAGATTTCCATGCACTTCCTGTCAGGAAAGAAAGTGCTGAAAAATCTTCCCAATACAGACAAAAACATTTTAATAGAGTGGAAGGGGTATGAACTTCTGACAATGTTTTTATTGCTGACTTTTGTTGTGAACGTTTAGAGGAGATAGTAAAGATCTCCATACAAAAAGAAACCTCCTTCCTCATGGCTACTAACAAAAGTGGTGCATCATATACTGGTTTCAGTTTGTCCCCTATTTCTACAACATCTATTTTTGGCTAGCAACAGGGTTAACGAAATTCATTTTACTCTGTTCTCATTCTTTACATTTGACTATCTTATGTATGGACAAAGCCTTAGCAATGTTATAAGGTCAAGCAGATGATAAAAAGCCAAATACATAAGACTGACCTCAAGTTTCAGCACATCATGCTGGAGTTTCCGCTGGAATTCCAAGAAATTGCTAATAGTAAGTTTCCCCTTCAGATCAGCACCAAAGAAGTAAGTGGTGAGTGCAGAGCTAAATCCGGTCTTCAGGGTGTTCCCAGTAGTTGAGCGGTCCCTATGGCGCATGCCCATGCTGGTCTGAGATCGAATGATGCTTTGAACCTATAAAGAAAGATAAACGGTTAATAACAAACTATATACAGGTGAAACTCGAATAATTAGAATATCGTGCAAAGTTCATTTATTTCACTAATGCAACTTAAAAGGTGAAACTAATATATGAGATAGACTCATTATATGCAAAGCAAGATAATTCAAGCCGTGATTTGTCATAATTGTGATGATTATGGCTTACAGCTCATGAAAACCCCAAGAACCCCAAATCCACAACCTCAAAAAAGTAGATTATTACATGCAATCAATAAAACAAGGATTGTACATAGAACAATATCGGACCTCTGAAAAGTACAAGCATGCATATGTACTCAGTACTTGGTTTGGGCCCCTTTTGCAGCACTTACTGCAATTACTTTTGCACGATATTCTAATTATTCGAGTTTCACCTGTATATGGTTTATAACTTTGTTCTGCCTTATGTAAAAAATCTTACATTTCACTTAATCACTTAATCTTTTAGCTTAACAGAGATGGTCAATGATGGTGATTGCTTAAAATTATGAAACAGAATACCACCATAAATTGACTCAAGGCAAGGAAAAGGCAAAAACATATCGCAAATTTGTTGTATTCTTTGACAATATTGGGCTTCAGAATTACATTCTGAAATCCTACTCCGAGGCTTGAGAACGGGGATGCATGCCACTTTTCAAGAAACATACACTGAGTGGCCAGTTTATTATGACCACCTGACGTTTGTAGGCACATTAGCTATAATTAGCTATAATTCCGCGCTGAAGTTGCTAGAGGGCCATCATGTGGGCACTCATTAAGAGAATTACATTTAAAACCAGTAGGCTTTTTTTATGAATAGTGCAAATAGTCTGGAAAATGGAGCTACCTTCTGGGCACATTGATTGAATGACGCTCTATTAAACTCTACTTGATTTAGAATGTAGTGGGGCAGTTATTTTGTTCGTGATTTTTCTGTCACCAGAACTGCAAACTTACATCAAAAGAAACTTCAATTGCAGTGTAGCATCAAACTTTATTGCTAATGATCACATCAAGCAAGTGTGCCTGCCACATCTATCAACAGCTCTGCCCTGTCAAAAATGCAGACTGGAGGTGACCTTAGCAGGTTACGTATAAAAATAGTCTTTTGATTATGGGACATGTATGCTAATAAAATTAAAGAGTCTAGTTTTTCTGCAGACTTACATCAACGATCGCAAAAACAATTTGTGGGAAAGAAAAAAATCAATAGAACTGATTTATATTACACACTAGTAGATCATTCATTGAAAATGTGCCTTTTTTACTCTGCACTCAGTTTTGTCTATTACTTCTTAGCGTTGTTTTGAAACTTGAGCCTTATTTATAACACACAGATATCATTAAGGCCCCATTCACACTAAGCGATTTCCGCCGTGATATCGCGCATTTTTGCCGCGTGATATTGCGAGAAGCCGCTGGCCAATGCTATTCAATGGAGCTGTCTTCGCTCCATGTCGCCTGTCGCTCCAGCAGGACCCTTTTTCCGGTGGAGTTTGCGTTATTTCTCTATTTTTTAATGGAGCCCGACGGTGAAGGTCGCGCTACCGTCGCCCCGAAAGTCGCGCTATCCTGGCCGCGCGGATCCGCTGCAAAAGGTATGTCGCTTAGTGTGAATGGGGCAGAATACAAATTGTTGTGCTTATTTGTTGTGTCAATTCAGGCCTAATACCACTTTATTAAGAAATTTTTTTCCAAGTTGAAATTAAATTTGATTGAGTTGCTGTTGCTGTATTTAGTCAAGCTAAATATAAACACTAAAAAAATCAATTACACATCCAAAATAGGTGATGCCTGAATACGGTTTGGCTGAAGCTGTTCATAAAAAAGGTTTTGTTCCATAACACCACATACAACTTTTGATTTCACACTTTAAGTCACATTAAAAGGGCCCACACTCTGCTGTACTGTATTATTTTTTGCTTTGTAAATTGTCCATCATGGCAATAATGCCCAGCTGCCCATGCCCTTTCTTAAACAATACCTTGTCTATTAGCCTTAAAAAAAAAATCACCAGAAGTTTGTATCAAATTCATGCCCAATAGACTTCAATCGGATGCATGGTTAAGTATGCAGTAAACTAGCTCAGTTTGCCTTCTGCAGTTTTATACAGGCCTCGTGGCTGAAATTAAAAAGCGATGACCCTTACGTAATATCACCAGAATATACACGGCAAGCCTCATGTAGCTCTCCAGATTTCAGAGTTATAACATGATGAATCATTAACTACTGTTCATAGTCATACTTATCTAGAGGGGATACCCTCTTATTCTAATAGGCTGCATCCCTCCATAAAATACAATACTGACAACAAGCAGGATGATATTTAATTTAATTCAGTAGCAATTCCATGGTCTACTGTTTACTTTTGAAACAAAGTAAAGGTGGAAAAAAGCAGGCAAATAATTTTGAATCTAATGAAACAAACTCTTGCAGAATGCTGGATGATATCTGGTGTTAATTGCAAATAAGATTGGAGGACTGATTAACTGGTTAAAGTGATATTAAAATTAAAAGGATTTAAGATATTTTAAATGCTGATGAAATCACTTACAATGGATGCTGCTTCTTGATGTTTAAAAGTGTTAGTTTCCTGCTCAATCAGCTGGTCCCCTGAGCACTGGCCCTGATATCCTGTTTTAGTGTGGCTCCTTTCCCCTGCAGAGTCCTTTGGCGCCACCCTTGTATGTGCTAGAAAGCTGTATGTGTCCCCACAAACAGGCACAGCAAGGCAAGCCACTCCTCTGTTGTCTACTACCCACTCCTCCCTCCCCTTCCTCCCAGAAGTTTTCAAAGCGTAAACGTCCATTTAAATCGGACATAACGTCACAAACGAACAAACCAACGTTTCGGGGCCACACAGGGTCCCTTCATCAGGGTGATAATGTGACCTTTAATGTGTCACATTATCACCCTGATGAAGGGACCCTGTGCGGCCCCGAAACGTTGATTTATTCGTGACGTTACGTCCGATTAAACGGACGTTTACGTGTTGAAAACTACTTATTGAGTGCTAGCGATTCCTGTTTTCTACTGAATTTAAATAAACACATTTAATGAGGTATTCACAAACACAAGGCTGCAGTAATGTGTATATTTTATATCTGCCTAGCCTTACAAACATCACAAGCAAATTAATCTAAGATCATTATGACAACACATTTCTTGATGTTGCAGTATGTATCCCTTATTTTCCCCATAATAATTTCTCTATAGACTATATGAAGAATGGGCACATACAGCCAAAAAATTGTGTTGAGATAACAAGCCATAAATTGACTATTGCAAAAGCACAATAGTATGTTGCCTCCACCATTGGCAATACCAGGCCCTCGAGGATGAGACATGTATTCCCTATACATGTTGTTATACTTTGTATGCATTAATAATTCAAGGCATAGTGACAGAATAGACAGTTATGAGGGTATTCACACTGTAATTAGAGACCTTTTAAAACTAATGGATTTTTCCAGCAAGCTGAGTGTTTTCTCCAATCTTTCCTCTATTTTTGGTTTAGTCAACTAATTACAATCCAGTTTGTACAATCACACTCACCTTAGTGTTAATCACATCTGTGGGTTTATCATTATTTAGCAATTAATGACTTGCTGCTTGAAAATAAAAGCTTTTCCCCAGCTTCATTTGGCGCTTGAGAGAAGACACTTAAAACCAGCAGCAAGTTGCAAAACAAAAGATACAAGCTAAAAAAAAACACTTATACATACTGCAACCTGAATAAAATCTAAATTGTAGTTCTGAAAGAGGAAGGCCGTACCTGGCTCAGTAGAAAAGTGACATTACATATTTATGCATTGCTTGCATAAATCAAGTTGTATAAACTAAAAAAAAAATAATCATCTATGGCATGCTGGAACACTGGAAGCGCTAGTTTGTTAAAAAACAAAGAAACTGTGTTTTCAGTGTCAGGAAGAGAATTGCGAAGGCTTGAGCAATGAATGCCATAGTTGGGCAGATCGCTAACTGTTCATTATTCGTAATTTTGTTGTATTGATGACTATATGGGAATAAAGCCCTCTCAATAGCGGAGATACCTCAGACAAAGTTTTTTGACTACCCTTCCTGCCATGCGTACCTTACATGAGATGTCAGTTCTAATACTGTTCTCCTCTCCAGCTTTTATTGTTATTATGTTATTGAGTTGCAGGCATGAACAACAGGGCCATAAACTATATGTGATCCTTTTGGATGTGCACAAATGTATATGCTCACTAATACTTTATGGCCTTGTCACAGAATCAAAGTGTATTTAAAGCCAACACTTTTCTTTAGCTATGGATAGAGTGAAAAAGGGCTAGGGGTTTTATTTCTGTGTCCCTGATAGGGAGATTTGTTACCAACACTCAAAGCAAGAGAAAATTCAAAATTGATCTGTTCTTTCTAGAACTAGAATATAGGTTTAACCTTCCAACTTGTTCCAATGACATCTAATTAAATATTAGCCTTACTTTGGAGAAATTTCCACTCACTTCCTTTTGTAACTAAAGGACAGAATAACAAAGGAAATCTTCTCAACTGGACACTCATGGCTTAAAAATTTTTTTACAAAAAATCGACAGGGGTTTTAACCATTCCACACTCTATTCTGTACCATTCAAAATAAAAGTTTTGGCTTTGAATATACTTAAATATTAATATTTATACCTAATTACAATAATATTTTGAAAACCTATTTTATGTACATACATAGAAAGGTAAAACAAATGTGGTTTGACACTGAGGTGTTGCTGTGTTTAGGTAACAGTTATGCGGTAATTCATACCCTTTTAGCCAGATTAACTGCTTGAAGACCAGGTGTTTAGATCCCCTACCTGGCCAGGCCATTTTTCAGTGTTCAGCGCTGCGGTACTTTGACTGACATTTATTCCGTCACGCAACGCTGTACTGAAATGAATTTTATACCATTTTTTGGGGACAGATAGAGCTTTCTTTTGGTGGTATTTAATCACCACTGCGGGTTTTATTTTTTACTA